ATATATAGTGAGAAGCACTTAACAGAGTGCAGTTTAAGAGAATCATTGCGGCCCTATGCCCCACTAGGGGAAACGGACACTAAGAAAAAGAAGAAGATAAATATAGAATAGATAGGATAGATGTCATTTTATTTTATAATTCTTTATATTATTTGTTTTTTTAAATGTACAAGATGTGTTTTTAATAATTTTTATATGATTCATCCACTTCGTTGGTATCCTAACAATTCAATTGAATGCAGATTTACACTGCACACAAGTTTGCTACTTAAGTCTTTCGTTTGGACGAACTAAGCCGCTATCAGTAAACAAAAATTATTTTTAATTGCCGTTAATTAAATTATTATGTTATATTCTTAGTTTTATTGGCATGTAAGTAACCTTTCAGTGCAAAATATTTACAAAATCTGAAATTTTATACGACCTCGCCGAATTTAACGAATTCAACGAATTTTTTATGCACAACTTAAGCCAAAAAATGTAATTTATGGATAAAAAAATTATCAATCATTTTTTAAACAGCAATGAGGCAAACTGGTTGTGTAGATACTTACATGTATGGGCTAACAATAAATATTGACTAAAGGCTTGTAAAATGCAAAAGTGCTGAAGATGGCTAATGTCAAGTGAGGCATAAATTAATAGAAGCCACTTTTGTAAATGTCACATGACACAATAAAGAAATTAAAGTAATGACAATAATATAATTTAATTTAAACAGAATACTTATAAGTTCAATTCTTTTAATCATATAAAAGAATTGTATATGTATGTATATAATTCCACGATTGTTGACCAATGGGTCGAATTCTGGCTAGCAATTGAACGGTAGATCTTGTCATTGTCTGTATCGATACAAGTTTGTGAATAACATTGTATCGTACGATTTTAGCCACCTTTAGATTATAAAAATACGGAAAGTGACGCACAAAACTCAGAGAGTCATCTTGTACTTGTAAAAGTTGTCATTTCCACCAGAACCGTTATCAATAACCACTCAATTGAACTGGAAGGGCTGATCTGCTCGAATTCGTATTCTAGGTGGCTCATATATGTTTCAAAGGTTATGTTGCATTTTTAATTTTCCTATATTAATGTACGATATTTTGCTTTTGTCATAAATATTCAGGTTAAAATGCCATTTCTATTTTATATTTAATTATAATATTTAAGGAAAAACTACTTGAATAGAACATTTTTCTCTCCTTAACTAACCACAAAAATTTTATGGAATATATAAAACAGTTTACGACCGAGACCACCTAGTAGTTCAGTCCGCCACAGTAATTTGACAAAATTAAATTAAATTAAGTATTAAATTCAAACTTTTATGTTTTTAATTAAGCATATTTTTTGTATATAGAAAAGCAGTTATCACAAGAAAACAACCTCGGAAGCAAAATTTATTGCAGATAGTAAAATTTTGATCCAATTTGATCAAATAAAATTAAATGAATTTTGCTGATTTTCGATTAAGTGTCATTTAAATTCTTATAATTTTCTTATAACATGTGTAAAATAATTTCAATATTATTTTGTTTAAATTATATCACAAAACTTGTATCTTTTTCTAATTAAGAGAACATGTTAAAGCAATCATTTAAACTTATTAATATTAATTAGAGCGCCATTGAATTTAATTATCATAAAATTAAATCCAATTTTGCTTTAACGAAATTAAACATTTTGTATTTTTATTGACAAAATCATCATCACTCCATTGATTATTTTAAAAAATATGTTGAACATTTCTTTGTCTCGTACATATTCGAATTATTTCATTAATCATTCCAATTTTATGAATACAATAAAAATACTTTCTGTAATTGAATCGTTTTAATTAAATATAAAAAATTCTTATTTGAATAAAATAAAATTAGTGTAATTATTTTTCTTTTTCATTAGAGTGTACCTTGACGATGGATTTAGTTCGTAAATAACAGAAAAAATTATTCTCATTACAAATGTCAACTTAACTTTCTGCAAAATAGATAAAACATAAGTTATTTTTTTTAATTGCTCCCAAGTAAATTGAATAGCACGAGTAACATAAGCGGCCTGAAGGAAAACCACTTCTTTTGTGAGTAACATATTCAGAGCTAAATCTTAGTAGTTGCAGTTCTAAGGTGTTCTAGAATATTGCATAGAATATTTTTACTTCTAAAAATAAGTGCGTTCAAAGCTAAATTTTTACATTACAGTCAATCTTATACTATGCACTTTGCATTGACTTTGTCTATTAAATAACAGTTTGTACTTAAGAAGAGAAATACTCTGTATAGTCATTATTAACATTATCATACACAGCAGGGCTGCCCAAACCAGATGCGATCGCGGCCCAATATAAATTGCTGTACGGATGGGAAGGACGTAGAAACAAATACATACGTTCATAGTTGTTATTGTAAATATATTATATCATGATAAATACGGTTGTAATGTTAAATTTAGTTTTTTTAATTTATCAATTTGAAATAATTTATTTGGTTTATCATAAAATAAAATAATGTGGTTTTACCAGTACACCAAATGAAAATTTGTGTGATTGTAGTAGATTAAAGACATGTTGCAGGCCGCACAAACATTAGCCATGGGACCCATGTGGCCCATGGGCTGTACTTTGGACAGCCCTGATATGTAGCATTTTAATTTGACAATAAAAAAAATTCAGTTCTAGAATGAAGCAACCCTGACTTTAAGCTTTTAAACATTCGTCAACAATATATTTTTCTTCTATTCAAATTCGCATCCGTATTTTATTTGATTTGCAAATTGTTTTTAGCGCACGTAGCGAAAGGCTTGTTAGAAGGTAATGATGGAAATAACTATTCTTCTTTGAGACTATATTTTATATAACTACAATTTTAATTTTTACTTGGGACTCTAAATCTTTTCAACATTCTTCAACAACAACAGTCGTAAGATATTGCTGCTCGTATGAGACGCAGCTTTCGACATATATTCTACATTAGTTGTTTACATTACATTACATTATTTATTTATTTATCCAACTTTTTTTATTTATCATAAAAAAGTTGGATGAAGGAAGATTTTTTATACTTTATATGTGAAGGCACAATTCCACTTCTGTCGTCTCTTAACGTTATAAAGTTTCCGAGACCGACAAGGGTTAAATTTTATTCTTTGGGGACGATCTGACAATCTTCGTCAATGCCAACCGCAAACACACCTCTTATTGCCACAGCCTTGCCGCCTCTTCTTGTTTCTATATTTCTTGTGATAATGGTGTTCTTTTCTTTTGGCTGCTTGCAGTTGTAAGTTAAAGAGTAGCTTAATATGTAACTTGTAATTTTGACAGATCTAACTTTTATAGATAAGCACCTTGGTAGTGTTTCTATATTAAAGATCATTGCATTGCCACAAATCTGTAAGACGTATACACAGAATTTTTTTAGAATTACTTTGTTTAGCAAAATTTTGATCTTAAAAATGAATTGTTAAGATAACTTAAATAATCAAACGAGTTTTCTGAATTGTAAGATGAGTTGCATCTGCTTTACATCAATTGTCAGACAAGATTATTTTTCAAATATATTCTTATTTTTACTGGCTCATATATTATGGAATTGCAATATTGTTGACGTCAATCTTCTCTTTTAGGTGTAAATGTAACTAATACAGACGTTTGCACATTAGCCTTTATCTTCTATTTTAATAAGCACTCGTAAATTAAACGTCATTGCATCTGCAGATATTGAGATGCTTCTATTGGGGTACCACCTCTTTATATCAGTTAATACATGGTAATGGCGATGGCGATAGAAAACAATACATCACATACACTTAAATAAACAAAAAGTTTCAGCTTTATAAATAAACAAATTAAAAAAGATTTTTAAATCGTAAAATCGTTTGAAGATAGTCTGATGTA